TGAGTGTTTTTGCAGCCCATCCCAACACCTCATGTTATCACCGCTGGGAATCAGAATAGATGGAAAGGAAAATATTTGCCCTTCTTCTACCATCAGCAGTGTTGTCGATAGTTAACTTGGGAAAGATTTCGGATAAAATAGTGACAAAAACCAGCAGAGGGTGCATTGCTGCCACTGTAATGCCCGTTCTTACACTGTAAGTAACCTTGCCTGTGGTGTAGCAAAGCTTTGGACAAATCCTGCACATTCCATTTCTGTGAAGCTGCCTACACAAGAGTGCAAAATCAGAAACGGGATTAAAGACCAAAGTTGGTGAAGACAGTTGCTTTAAAGAAAAGGAAGACAAAAAAAAATCAACTAAGGAGATGTAATGTGCCTTTTGTGCTGTGCACTCAAGGTATTTTGCAGCTTTTCTTGAAATATCCATCATAAAAGTACTTCTTTGATCTGCTGTAAGCAGCCACTCCCAGAAGGAGCGAGAGACACCTCGTTTCCTTCCTTCCTTTTCTTATCCTGACCTACCAGTCTGGAATGCAGTTCACCTCTGAGCATTTTCAGATGTATCATTTTCTGAGAGGTTTGCATGTCACAACACACAACCAGGGGTTACTTCACTGCTCACAAAGCCTGTACATGACAGCCAAAGAGAGGAGCCACATACAAAGTCTGACCATCCTGCGCTTCACCTACGTAAACACCCTTGTCTGCAGAAGGGGAATAACAGCATTAGGATAACAAATATCCATCTTGCCCTCAACATAGGCAGGACCTGAGACTGCAAAGTTACAAAACTAGTGCCCCACGGTACAGTTGAGTGGCAGTTTAGGTTACTCTATTATTTTATTGCTGCATCCCTATGTGCCTCCAGCACATCCCTCTGCAGCAGGAGTCACGATGTACCTCCTACCCCCAAGGCATCCCACCTGGTGACTGGTGAAAGCTAATCACTTTTTGCAGGGTTAGTTTCCAGCAAGATAAGAGTTTTTCAGCTTCCTCAACTGAATTGCTGCACAGCAGCAAAGACCTCAATGTACAGGAGAGAGGGACGAAACACAGTGTCATGAGGTCAAGGCTTCTTCTAATTGTGTACAAAATTATCCTTTTAGGTTTACTGTGCTGTCACTGGATTTACAGTGAGTACCAAAAGAGATTTTAAATTCCAAACTGCCCTTCAGAAGCGCCCCCATAACCCCAAGTACCATAGGCCTGTGAGTGCTTAAGCTGGAGTCACAACTAAATTCCAAAACATAGTTGGCATTAATCAAGACCATAATGTTGCCCCACTAAATGGCAAGGGAGTTGAGCACAGAATAAATACACACTTAAAACTGCAGCACAATAAAAATAATGATGATAATAATAATAATAATAATAAAACCCCAGCATAACCAGTATGGTTATGTGTGGGTTAGCTGAAGGTGGCCGGAGGGAGGAGATGCCATGCATTCCTGAGTGCACTGCAAGGAAATTTCAGTCCTACTGACTTCAGTAGGGCTTCAATGAGGCCGTGTCTCTGCTGTGGAAAGGAACTGCTTAACACAGCATCGTGGGGTTCCTTGTTTTTTGTCTCTGAGCAACTCCTGGCAAAGCCACTGGTTAGTAAGTGAAAACACACTTTTCCCACTCACCAGGACTGCAAGCTGTACCTGGATTGGCTTCTCTTCTTTCACTTCTTGTTGTTGCTACCACTGATAGATTTGCAAATCTGGATCCTTGACTAGGTGCTGACTTTACAAACCCAAGTTGTGGCTACTGAAGTGGGGGAAAGGGGGGCCTGACCTCGGAGCAGATCATTTCCCCTTCAGTGGGATGGCTCTGCCTGCAGCTTGACGCCAGATAATAAGCGGCATTCAGTGTCAGCCCAGCAGCTGCCATGCAGGAGGTCTGTCCCTTCAGGCAGCTGCTGCTCATCTCCAGGCAGCTGGCAGCGGAAGTGACATCTGTTTTTGGTCCCAGCTGTGAGCAGCGCGGAGGTGCCAAAGCCCAAATGCCTCAGTTCTCGATCCAGGAGCGAGGAAGGGTTTCTGATGCCAGACCACGGCCTGGCTTGTGGAGTGAAGGGAGGGGGGAATCGTCTCCTTCAACGATGGTGGGCTGGGAGGAATGGAAAAAGAGCGACAAATACAGAGAGAAAGAATAAGCAACAGAAGTGGGGGAAAGGATGTGAGAAGGGTGCAAGAGAAGACAGGAATGGCTGAAATGAAACAGAAATGCAAAATCTGAAGTGTCCAGTCTGAGGGACAGAAACAAAAGGAAAGAGGCAGAGTAATGCAAATGAAAGAGATGAAGAAGTAGCAACAAACAACTAACTAAGGGATATGATTATCTAAAATGGCTGCTGAACAGTAAAATGCCTTACTGAGCTGCCACCTCGAGTGCTACTGAATCTGGAAGGCATTCTTGCCCACAGCCCTTAGTCTATCGTGCCATTCAAGGGGTTCCCTCTGCAAGTTTTGCCATCTGGAGGAGCTCTGGTATATTCTCTCTTGACTCCTTGCTTCTCCACATTATTTAAATTCGTATCACTTTTTCCTCGTCCAAGTCTCTTACTCTCTCATTTATCTTTGTAACTGTGTTATAATTCAGTGTTGTGGCATTTTAACTGAACTATAATTTTAGTTTCTAAGACAGGAATAGGTGCAGGATGAAGGACAAGATCCAATTCAATCTATAGACTGAAAAGCATACTTAAATTAACCTTGGAATAAATACATTAAGAAATGTCACTTTGCTCCCCAGGTTTGTGTAAGCAAGGCGAGGAACTGTATTCAGTGAACATATTTTCACAGTTGGGCCTGTTTCCTCAGCACAGGTACTGGAATTGTGTTTTTTAGATCTCACAACTAATTAAGTATTCCTGGAAGAAATAATGAAGGAAAACGTATATTTTAAAAGAGCTTTACAGCCCCGTCAATCAAAATCAACTTACACTGGGAAAAAATGCAGTGTCAGTGACTGATTCTTTCCCTTGGTGCTTGCCAGAAGCACAAGACAAACTGAATTGTGGTAAACAATCAGGTTGGAGAATGGGCCAAGGGAGATGGATGTCATAAAAAATTAACAGTCTTAAGCTGAAAGTGCAGGTATTTGGGCCACAAAGATTTGAACCCATTTTCATACTTTACCTTGATATATCATTGTAGGCACCCAGAGCAAGGCATCAGTCATGGAACTGGGTGCCATTACAAATTATTCAAAATCAGGTATTAAAGATGGGATTGATTGAGTTGGGTAGGAATAATGAAAGCAGTTTCTTGAGTCTTTCGGAATTCATCTCTTCAAAACTGGCCTTAAACATAACTGCAGTTATAGTTTAACTTCTTTTCATGTTATAATTACATATTTCTAGAACATAAAGATAATACATATATTTATACCTTAAAATTTCATAATAGATTTTACCAATGTGAGCCCTTGAAGATATTGTCCTTTATACAAGTCTCAGCAGCTCTCCCAGTTTCAGTGAGAATTAGTTGGGATTTTAATAAGTGATCTTTGAAACAAACAGGAGAAAAGTTGTCTGAATACCATTCTATCATTTCCTATACAAGGAGAAGAACTGACCATCTAGTAAACTATGCATCTGAATTAATCAATTTAATAACTAAATACTGGAGTTTTTTCCAGTCAGACAGGAATAAGATTAGTGCATCTGGCATCTAGAGCAGAAAGAATAATCAGCAATCTTAAAAACCATGAGGTTGAGGCAGTACTAATACTCTGAAGGGCTCCATTTGTCCCATAACACACAGTTGTTACAATTATCAGTTATCAGAGCAATAACACTGGTCCAGGACAAAGGTAACTCTTGCCCCAGACTCTGGCACCTCAAGGAACACTGTTAACATAAGCCTGTTCCTGAACCCCAAACCTTCCTCAACAGGAATGAAGGGGAGCATGCATTGTCTGCACATATTGGTGGACGCTTTATAACACGAACTAAAATTTTTCAGATCAAAGATATAGACGAAGAGAAAGGAAATACAAAATAAAAAGCTTTTGCATGTCTGGAAGCAAATGGGCTCTTCTTCATAAATAAAACCCAAATAAAAAGCAGTGAGCAGTAGCAAGTGTCCTAGACATGGAGAACAGAGCAAACAAAGCATGCCTCTTTTCTGATGAAGTGACCTACAGTGAGGAAGAGTTGCTGTATCCTCAGAAAGTGCCAAGCAGTAATCGGAAACCTTACATGTCTCTGGAAGCTTCTTTTTGGATGACATCTACAGCAGCACTGTGGTAGTGATGAGACTTTGATGTCACACAGAAATACAAATCTGAATGCACCAAAAGCTTCATAGCATCCAGAAACACTTTTTATTCTGCAGCCTACATTAATTATCAAGACGAGCTAAAAGCTGCATTGTGGTATTTTAAAGTCAACTAAAGTTGAATCTACTATACCACTGATTGCAATAGGGTAACATCTCACTTTGTTTCTCTTTGCTTTTTTGTTTGGTTTTGGGGTGTTGGGTGTTTTTTGTTTTTAATTTCACCATCTTCAATCCTTTTCATTCTTTCAGCCATTTTTAGAGGACCATCAAACCGGGTTTTTTTTCAAGCTATGTAGCCTGGAAAGCTAAAGAAAGAAAAAAAGATTGTAAGTAGAAATTCTTCTGCCTGACTTCTAAGACAAAAAAAAAGTAATTTACATTTCAGATTTTGCATGAAGTAGGTTAGTTTCAGTATACAAATCTAATTCACACAACTTGGCAGTTACAAAAAGCATTTCTAGGGCCATATTCTGCATTCTCTTTTCTGATGAACATTAACCAAGGAATACTAATTAGAGTGCTTAAGAAGAAAGGTAAGCAAGGCTGGCAGAGTCTGAGCTTTTATTTATATTCTGTTATCTCTGTCCAAATGTTCAAAGCAATATGGGTGGTGACTGATTCACTAGTTAAATTCAAAACAGCATGTGTGTACAAAAGGCTGCCAAGTTTCTCATGTATACTGCTATTTGTGAGAAGCTATGCACAGACAAAAAACAATCACACAGTTTCTTAATTTCATTTTATATTTTTATTCCCATTGTAAGAACTAACCATCACCCAAAAGACCATTTCAATTTGGTTTGGATACACAATAGCATTAATCACAGTCCAGTTTCTCTTTGTTTTGTTTTGTTTTTTTACTGCAGTTCTGGTATTTCGTGATCTGTTTTAGTAGTTCTGTTGTTGGTGTATTTGCTTCCAGCAAAATAGATTTTTCAGTGTTTGCAGATTATTTGAAAAGATTGTTAAAGATTAAAAAATCCATAATGCAATGATTAACAGCTCATTAGCAATTAGTCTTACTATCTTCCTTTTAAGATTAGTACTAAGTATATTTGATGACCCAGAATTTACTTTTTCTTGTGCATTATCTGTTTTCTTTTAAAAATAACTCCGTAAACAGCTTATATTTTTTCATTGCAGCAATTCATTGCAGTATCATTTTTAATTGGATTGAAACCCTTTTGGGAGAATGATGTAAGTAAAACAACCCTAAAAAATAAAAAGTTCTGTTTAAGCAAATGATGTTACACACAAACCGACATTAAGGCAATATCATGATGTATAAATAGAGTGGCTAGAAAACATGAAGGATGTTCTACATTCACTTGCTTATTAATTGGGGAAAACACATCACATTGTATTTTAGTCTTCAAGCAAAGAAGAATCACAAAGTACACTCAAAGAGACATCTTTCAGCATGTCTTTTAAAAGCCTGTGAGACGAATTCCTTCATCAAATTTATTAATATAAAAGCAAATTCAGAAAACTTATTTGTGAAAGCTGTCCTGTTAAATTATGAATACTAGTAATAAATTCTTTAGTTCTTCATTTATTTGCATACTCTGCATATGAACAGATGTGAATGAACAAAATATGTCTATTGTATAGTCACACAAAAAGCTAATATGAATGTTTATGTTGTGCAATTTCAGAAAGGACAAATTATTAATCAAAGTAGAGAGGAGAAAGAAGCAAAGAGAAAGCAGATGACGCACAAGAATTTTGTTACTTGTCTTTGCATGACTTCTGTGTGGAAGAAAATGTCTGCTTTGGATATAGAATCCTCAGCTAAAAACTCATTTTATTATGCAGTGAAGGAAGTTTGTGATCAAGATCAGCTTTTGAAAGGGATTTAAACTGGAGTTATAGATAGTTATGTCAAGGGAAAGAGGAAGAGAACCAAGTGCAGAGCATGAGAGGGTATGGAACATGGTGGGAGTAAGGGGAAGAATGCTGTTTTTAGAGGGAAACTTGTAAACTGACAGTGTTCTCACTCATGACAGATTGAATTGGGGACTTACTGAACACTTCTGGTGGGAATACTGCTCCAAGACTGTATTCCATTCACAGCAGGTATGTAAGACCCTAACCTAGCCCCTTCACAACCTGCAGGATAGATGGAATTCCTGAGTCTGCTGCATAGGGAGGGACAGATGTTTTTAGGAACTCTTCTTGTATTGCTCTTAATGGCTGTGACACCTGGAGATACTCCACATAATAATCATTCACCATTTCATCTTCCTATCCCAACTGTCCACACTTGCCTATGCATGGAGCATACATTTGAATTCATAAGGCCTAGTCTCTTCACTATTTAATACAAACATATGTTAACCAGCAAGAGATGAAAATTGTTATAGCTGAGCTAACAGAACCTTCCTATTTCTCCATGACCTATAGATTGGGTAATGGAACATTTTTTTCGGTCCTAACCCTTTTCTCACCCTTTAAGCATTCATACACACATACGTGCATATATATACACAGACGTGCAAAAGCAGAGTATGTGCACAACAGTAACTAAGTGGTGCTAGTTCTAAATGATGGCCCATGGGCACAGGAAAAAGCACAGCACCAAGGAGGCTACAGCCAGAGCATGCTGCATCTGGAAAACTGGGGTTTAGCACCTTGTTGTCCCCATGCATGTCTTGTCTTTGATTTGAGGGTACCTTCATTTCACAGAGGACAGGGACCTGACCCTTCCCTCACTTCTTGTAATACCTGTTTCTGTTGATGTCAGGAAGGCTACAGTCTATCATTAACTCTACATTCAATGATAGCTATTACAGCAGCAATTTTTAAATAATTTCATATAAAGAAGATGAGCTGTGCTTTGGGATTAATTTATCTTAAATAAAATTTAAGTCGTGCAGTCCTAGAGTACAACACACGCACACACACACGTTTATAGACAATTCTGCATGAACGCTTTGGTGTCCCGTGTGCACCTTGTTAAATGATCAGTACCTTAAAAAACATTTCAGTATCATTCCTCACAGTATGTACCCAGTGTATCTCAGAATTATTTGTATTTCCTATTAACACTTTATACATAATATCAGACATGCATTTTAAGTATCAAAAATATGCTGTTAAAGGACTTTTACAGTGAATGGCATAAATCTATAGTTTTAATCAAAGGGTAAAATGACTTAAGACCTTTGGTGAATAGATGATGAAAAACTAATGTTTCCAAAAGCTACACATGATTTATTGTCTTATGCTACCAACAGCTGGCCAGTCAGGTCCGGGTTTCTGTCCTTTATTAATGCCATGATAAGAGCAGCAGCAGAATTTACTGTCTCCTGAAGAAACGAAGGGTCCTGGGAAAAAAAAGGGGGAGAGCAGGGAAAACAATACGTTTACAAAAGTGGGAAAAGTAAATATTTAAAATAAATTTTCATGTATGCCAAATCACCATATGATTGTTAAAACAAATAAAAATATTTATTTGTACTTATTAGAAGAACTTATAAAACTTGTATTTTAAAGAAGCACAATTTCATAATAATAACCATTTTCTCCAATCTCCATGATGCAAAACTGCTAGAATTAAGGACATCTATCCAGAGACCACCAAAAAGCTTGATTCTGTCACTTGCTTCCTAAATGATTTTTAGATTTTAAAAGGCAGTAAAAATGCTGGGTTTGAAAACATGGGGAAAAAATGGAGGCTTTAACTGAGCAGCTTAGTTAAAGACCTGCAACTGTAAGCACTTACTGAATCCCATCTGTAATCTACAAACTACTTAAACTCAAAGGCATTTAAGCACTGGGACTTAACCGGTTTAAGTTGATCTTCGTATCAGATAACTTCAAAAAGTAGTCTGGTTTTGATAGGCAAGTATAGAAACCAATACAGGAAGCAGTAATAAAATGAGACATTGATTCTGTGCTTCTAACAGCACTCCAGCTCACATTTGAAAGAGTCTTTTATCTAATTGCCAAGTATTTTTAATTGTATTGGCTATAAAAGGTTGGCCTCAAACATTTCCATTTGCACACTGGGAAAACAGCAATAGGTGTAGCCAGGCACAGAGACATCCCTGGAGAGAGGAATAGGAGGGAACAATTTCTGTGAAGCAGCAGAGAAAAAGAAAGGTCTATAAAACTTAAGGGTAGGGATAACCTAGAATTTATAAATACAGAAGGAGAGCTACAAAGAGAAACCAAGAGCTGTGCTTCACAGCCATGATGGAGAAAACTGGAAACAATAGGTTTTGACAGTAAGGACTGGTATAAAGTGGAACAGATAGATCAAGGAAATTCATCACGACGGTCCTGTAATATGAGAAGGTAAAATAGGATACAGGTACAGCTTCCTGCCTGGGGTAGAAGGATGGAGCAGTTTGAATCTGTATCTTTCCCCCCTTTTTTTTTATTCAGATGGTGCATGAAAGAAGAATTTGTAGAGAACGTTTAAGAAAGATTGATTGTTTCCACAATTTGTACAAAAACATAACATCCAAACATGCTTTTTAAGGAATAAGGCAACTGCCAAAGGGACCTATCTATTCAGCTAGCACAGAGACTAAGAAATTGCAGTTGAAGAAAAAAACAAAAGGGGAAGGGTGTCCTTGGAATACACTCAGTGTGGAAACAGGTCCAGAGAAGGGCCACAAAAATCACAAGAGGGCCAAAGAACCTCTTCTATGAAGACAGGCTGAGAGAGTTGGGGTTGTTGCACCTGGAGAAGAGAAGGCTCTGGAGGTGAACCCACTGCAGCTTTTCATTACTTAAAGGGGACCTACAAGAAAGATGGAATCAGATCTTTTAGTAGAGCCTGTAGCGACAGGACAAGGGTAATCATCATGGCTAGGCTTCGCAAACAAAGATTTGAGAGGTGTTCTACCCACGCTTGCTACAAGCACACTGATCTCACAAGGGGTAATAGTTTTAAAATAAAAGAGGGTCAGTTCAGACTAGATATAGAGACGAAAATTTTTATGATGGGGTGGTGAAACACTGGTGGAGGTTTCCCAGAGGTGGTGGATTCCTCACTCTTTGAAACATTCAAGGTCGGGTTGGACAGGGCCCTGAGCAATCTGATCTAGTTGAAGATGTCCCTGCTCACTGCAGGAGGACTGGAGTAGATAACTAACCTTTAAAGGACACTTCCAAACCAAACTACTCTAGGATTCTATGATAATACTCTTATTAACTTTGTGACTTATGTAAATTACAGGAAACATGCCAGAGAGGTAACTGTATAGAATCAAAAATAGCTAGTTTATAAGAGGTTCTTTTATAATTCCTGAAAAAAATTATGTTTGTATTCAACCAGAATTTTGTCCTCAAAATCATCAAATAAGTAAGCTGTTACAATTTGAAACTCTGCAAAAGATTGCAGTCCTCAAATTCATGTTATATATTCTAATATGAAGTAAAATTATTTATTAGAGGTCTAAAAAGCTGTGGTAGGACAAAATGTTCACCACACCACATCTGTATATCGCAGTTCACTGAGTGACATCTCCTATCAGTCAAGCAAGGAGTGCAGAACTGTACTTAGGTCCTGCTCCTTCAGGACCTTTTGTCACGGACCAAGGGTGCAAAGATGAACTCAGAACCCACTACTCCAATTCGGCAGGACTTTCATTCCCTCATTTCCCACGGGTATACACTGCTGTATAACGTATGAGGAGAGCGGAAGTCGTGCACGCAACCACTCAGACAGCAAACACTGCAGTCGCTTTCAAGATCGAACAGCACATTTCTTGCTATTCGGCAATGCCAAATTCTCTCTGTGCCCCTCATAATATTTTGCTCAGTTTTTCTTGAGAAGCATTTCACAATTACAGACACTGTTTTCCAAATGGGCTTCCAGCCATATCTGAAGTTGGCTGGAGGTGTTGTGTTTTTTTTTTCCATTTCACAAGAAAGAAATAAAATACACCTGGCCAGGAATGCTCTTAATGTTTCTCCCAATAAATCTTTCCACATCCTCTGTTGGTTACTGGATTCAGTACACATTCCATTGCAGTAATAAATTATTTAAGTTTTTGAACATAAAAGGAAGCAAGAGAAAGAAATTTAACTTTCACAGGAGAGATTGAATGTGACACCGTAAGATTCCTTTAGACTGAAAAAAAGCCTTTTCTAAAGCTAAACCTAAGGCCTTAGTGCTAATTTCCATGTTCTGAAGGAAAGACGTGCGAAAAATTATGAGTAATATTTATAACACAGGCAATGTGGCAGAGTAATGCATACAAAAACCTGCATGTAGAAGAGTTCTATAAACCACCCTGAAATTGACTGCTGAATTGAAATTAATTCAAAACTAGAAACACAAAAAGTAAGCAGCAAAACTTAAAACTTCAAATTTTCCAATTACTTCACTTCCAACAATCTGATTATTAATGCTCATATTATAACTACTCAGGAAACCTACTAGCCCCTGTGCAGGATAGGCCCCTGTAAATGTGTGGTTTTGGAAATAACCAGAAGTGTTTTTCTTTAAGGGAATACATATTATCATATCTAAGACAACAAATGTCATGGAAAATATATTCTTAATTCTTAGTACAGTTACAGTTGGTGGTTTAATGACCTCATGAAGCACATACTGAGAATTTCAATAGGAAGATCCTTTAAAGTATTTATCATAGGGGTTACTAATTTTAGATTTATGTTGTTGTTCCTTCCTGGTAACCCATTCTGATCCCAGGGTCACCCATTCATTGAAAAGTGTCCAGCACCCAGGCCTATGAGCCAGCCTCTAGTGCAAGGGGAAATCAGTCCCACAGAGGTCAAGTATGTGCTTACTCTAACTTTCTTTACATTCACATAGTTTTACTGGAAAGAGGTAGTAAATAACACAATGCACTGGACTCTTCCAGGAATTTCAAAATCATGGTGTATCCTGTATCTTCCTGAGAATCAAAACTCGCTTTCATGCTATGAATCATTATTGTAGTATCCAAATGTCATTGCCTAGGCATAATTTAAAACTTTAGTTGATCATTTCTAGTCATTACCACCTGATAGGACTTTATTTTGTTTTAGGCTATTACTGTGTCCAAAAATGGATATTTTCAATGTGCTGCCACGATACCTAGCTTTTTCTTAAGTACTTATATGTAATTTGGACACCAGCAGTCTTTATAAAGAATATTGAAAAGAATTAAAATTACAGAATTCAACAATAACCCAGGAAAGGAAAAGAATCTTGTGGGTCTTTATTAATGTCAACAAACAAGTAAACACTTCAAATCCCTCAGCTATGCCCTTAAAACACCACATTTTTGATACTGCAATGTTATTTCTGGTAACAGTGCTGATTACAGCTGATAGTACCTACAGGGAGGCTTCTATACAGATGCCAGGACACAGTTAATCTACCACACCTAACTCCATTACACAGGCCACTGATCTTCTTTTATATTCAATGGCATAGCACTAAATCTTTCAAAAATCTCATTATTAGCTGCAGGAAGTCAAATAATCAAGCAGAACCAGGTCTTCACATGTCTAACTGCCTGACGTGTTTGCATATATTGTCAGCACGACAAAAACCGGGATGTCAGAACAGGAAAATCAATACAAAGCCCACGAGAGCTTTTGCACGTTACTGCCCACCCACTGCTCAGCGCTGCAAACCCAAGAAGGGAAGGTCCCTCAGCCAGTCCATGAGTGCACATCCGTGCACACACTGGATGGATCAAACACGAATAGTTCTTTCCCTCATTAATGAAATCCTTAAAAAAGACCATGACTTTTATTTAAAACTTGGAGGCAGTAATGATTTTAATGGATTAATAACTGAAGTTCCACGTGATCCCCCCAAACCATTGTGATATTCACTGTCTATTCATTTTATCCAGTTGATTTAAATGATCCTCCTGTAAGAAGAAAAACCAAGCCCCCCTAACAATTTTTGGCCATTAATAAATAGAATTTTTTATTGTTTGAACAGATTATTAACTACATTTATAAGCTAAAACCAAAATTTTTACCACTTTATATTTATGTACTTTGGAAAAGAAAGTACTCAGAAACACTGCCAACCTTATAAACCATAAATCCACATAACAGCACTTTGATTCCAAAATAAAATATTCACTTTGTCTGTTATTAAACAGTAAAAATATTTCAACTTAACCATACTGTTCAGACTCAGAATTTATTTGATGTAGAGTTCTGACTGTAGGGGTTCTGTGGTCTGCAGACTAAGACTGGGAATGGATGCAGGGACAGAGTTAAAGCTGTGTTTGGAATATGCAACCTGATATTTTACAAATGTGCGTATATTTAAGAAACTGTGAGGATATCTGAATATTTACTGATGTTCCCCTAACTATTCATATCTTCGCTTCGATCTGTT